GTAACGTAACCCATGAACGTGGAATCGGAATTCGACCGTTGCATGTTTAAAGAGACTAACTTTTCAAAATCATTGGAACGGACTCGCGAGAGATGTCGAGCTCTCTTTTGCTATCTTTCTATCACTTGCCTGACAATTTGCATGCCCTGTGCAGGAAATACACTTCATCAGTTGAAGAGGTTGAAGGTCGTCCAGTACGAGGACCACTCGTTTAAATTTGTTTAAAAATACAAAGCTAGTGACAAATTCTTTGTTCCTACCGACTTAATCAGCTACTTTAAGCAAACTGGTCGACAGATCGCTCTCATGTTTGGCATAGTAATTAAGGACAGTCTTACCAACTTAGCAAATTACATTTTTTGTAATATAATTTCCCCGGAGAATTTAATTACAATTTCCGGGTGCTTTTTTATCACAATATACATATGTTTTGAATGTCAGGATTTTTTTTGGACAAATAGGAGTTTAACCTGCCACAGCCGTAGTCTTCGACAATTGAAGTGCTACAATAATGAAAATGCCGAGAAAAAATCAACAATTTTTAATTCATTTTCTGAACATTTTTGTACGAAGAGCTAAGTATTTTTTCCAAATTAAATATGCATTAGAAATATTCAAAGGGAAAAGTTGCATTTGCTTGGCTCTCTCAACTACAAAAGACTTGTTTTCAATTCAGTTCAGCATAAACAACATTGTTAATCAATTCGATTAGCCGTGTACCCAAAGTTTCACATCAATTCAAACAATCTTCGTAACGCTATGAACTGTCATAATACGATTGGAACCGAAGMCAGCCATACCGTTTACTCGATCGTGATTGCCGAAGAACAGATTGTTCGTGTTGSATCAGATCAGTTGACGCTGGCGGCTACTCGAATTGATTAACAATGTTGTCTATGCTGAACTGAATTGATTTGATTGTGTTTTTGGYACGACTGTTTGCTCTGATTTTATCATACTCGTTGAAGCTCTCTGATACATACATACATACATGTATATACAAACATATGTATTTGAATAGATTGATCATTTCAATCATTGAAGCATGAGTTTGCATCACTTCGGGTATTTTCTGCTGATGCGAACGTTCATAAACAAATCAGGTATAAGCTGATCGCYAGTGATTCAAATTTGTTCTTTATCGCTGATTTGAAKACAAACGGTGCGCTTCGTGTACATGAACCRAACTGACAGAATCAGACAGAGTAACTCYKSTATGTACAWRTGTATGTAGTTTTCCCACTATATGTGGTGATGCGCTATACTCATATATACCACACATATCCATACATACATGTCGGTTAATTTATGGCAAAATGTACACATGTATGTTGGTCTAACTCTCGCTTACTGTGCAAAAAATTATTATTGCCATTTGCTTACGATTATTGTAATAATTTTGTCAGTGGCCGAATACACTCGTATGCACTTATGTGTGTGTGTGTGCATGTATTGATGCATAAAACTTTTATTTTTGAAGAAAGCACGGAATTGCATACAAAAAAACATACGTACAGACAGATATTTGGACGGCTTTCTTATTTGGTGCGTGCAATTTGGCCTTTACTCAACGATTTCAGAACCTTCACTATTGTTTTTACTGTGTTTTATGCAGTTTCAGCTGCCTGCCGTTTGGCTGAAATTGGGCGCAAAAAGAAAATAACATAACGAAATAAAATACAAAACGTTGGCGAAACCACTTCCCATTTTTTCGCTTTTACAATAATAATGTCAGAATAAAATATTCGACGTCTGCAATTTATTTGATCGCAAAAAATCTATTTGTGCATGCGGACCAAGCGATTACGGTTAGTCAGAAGTTGAACGCGTTGGCGAGCGTGTGCCGGTGTCTAGTGTGAGGTATCTAGTGCAATACAAACGGTTTATTAAGCAAGTGATACAAGTGAGACAAAACTAAAAGGATATTTATTACTACAGGATAAAAGGATATTTAATAGAATTGTGTTTTCAAGTTTTAAACGCGACCGAGCGATCGTAAATGCATTGGAGCCATGTTTTGGGTATGAATGAAAAAAAAAAAATATGTAGAATGCATTATTTTTTGTTCGTAAATTATTGCATATCCTAATTCTAGTGTAAACATTTTGCGGTGCTGGCATTTTTGCTGGCTTTATCGGTGTCCTCAAATGCATCGTCCCAAAGCAAATCAACAACTGCAGCAGCGGAAACGTCTCAAGATGAGGACACAATCGACTTGACTCCACCTGCAGACCTCACAACCGAAAAGGACGAAGATGAACGCGGTGCAGGCCAGGTTTGAAATGTGCTTTTATTGCAATAAATTTATGCGACGAAATCGCCTTCTACTTCACAGATCGTAGGCCAGTCTTTGTTTACACCGGTCTTAGGACAGTCTATCTTGCCAACACCATTAAATTTATTTAGTGCAATGTTTCCGGCGTTGAACTCCTTATTACTAATGGGTAACTTGTTCCCTGCCACGTCTCTTTTTGGTGCGCCCTCGTTATTGGGTTCAACACATAAATTAGGAGCTGCAGCGAGCGATGAGATGCCAGCCGATTCAAAGGTTGTTTTGGTATTAGCTGAAGACCGTAATCCTAATGCTGCGATGAGAGCAGCCCACCAGGAAGCTGCACGAACAATTCGGCAAAATGATATGTTTAGTCAGTTCTTGGCTCAATTCGGTCAAGCTGACTTTGGGCAGATGTTAGCGCAGTCATTGGAACAAATGCAACAACAGAATCCCAATCAATTGTTACAGCAGAATGCTGGGCAATTGTTTCAGCAATTTGTGCCGCAAGATTTCTCTCAGACGATGGGTCAACTTTTATCGCAAACGTTTCAACCGTTCCCCGGTTTAGATCTGTCACAGCTTCCAATGTTAGGGCAGGCACTACCATCCGCCGATCCTTCGGTAGGTTCAGCATTGCCAGAAGCGGAAGGTGAAACCGCTTCTTCTGCAGGCAGTGCTGCATCACAAGCGCCTACAGGATTCCAAATTCCAAATTTCCAGTCAGCCTTGGATGCAGGAACTCAATTATTGGGTCAGGCTTTGCAACAACCAAATAGTGATACAAGTTCTGTTTTCCAGCTACCAAATTTTCAATCAGCTTTGGACGCAGGTACACAAATGCTGGGTCAGGCCTTTCAACAAGCTAATGCCGATGCAGCTTCAGGTGGATTTCAACTACCCAACTTTCAGTCTGTCATAGATACGAGCAACCAAATGCTGAGCCAAGGAGGCAGCTTATTTAATCTTCGTCCACTGCAATCGTTGGATCCCTCCACATCTGCATCAGATGCAGAACCAGCGGCTTCACAGATATCTGAAGTTCGTGTCAAACCGGATGCCATTTCTATAGCTGAACATGACCAGAAAATGCAAGAGAATGTGAATCTGGATGAATTGAAAATGACATCGGCCTTGCAAAAAGCTTTTCTACATAAGAAATTACCAATTTTGTGGTTCCGCATTCCCGCTGATTCATCTGAAAACGTTCATGACCTTGAAATGAAAGAACCCAACACATCTAAAGCGAAAAATGCCGAAGAAAAGCAACTGCAAACAAAGTTGCAAGCGTTTCAACGCCAAGTTATGACCGAATTAAAGCTCCTACAGGACATAGAACGTCAAGCTAAGGAAATGCGTGCGGCGTCATTGGGCTCACAGTCACAGAGTTTTAAAGATGATGCTAATGCTAACACACATACCAGTATGTTGAGTAAGATACCAATTCATAAAATAACCCGCTCTGACATTGAGAAAGCTTTGAATGACGATTATGTTAAAAAGCTTTTGCATAGAGCCGCGATTGCGAATCGCAAAGAAGTTGGAAAGGCGCCCATATATACACCAAGTGGTGKAAATATCAAACGCCAAACCTCTAAGTCAACGATGGCTCCACGACAAATGTCAAGAGATGAGATTGTGCGCTTGATGGCCTATGCATATCGCATGGCAAATGATAATGGAATTCGAATGTTGGAATCTCCAGAGAGTAAGAAGCCATCAAGCGATGCGGAATTAGATGATAATCAATCTTCCGGAGATACTTCCAAAACTACAGAACGTAAGTGGCCATCAGATGCAAACACACCGATGAATAGACAGTGGATGGATGAAGAAAATCGGGAATCAGATGAAAWAGCTTTTAAACAGGATCCCAAGTTAATGCAAATGAGACAAATGTGGGCGGAGCCACTGCCGCAAGTGGCAATACAGCAGCCTATGATGATGCAGCAGATGCCGTTGCCAATGATGCAACAACCTGAAGTACCTCAAATGTTAGCGAAGCAAGCTCCAATGGAATTACAACAGATGCCGATGCCAATGATGCAACAACAGCAGATACCTCAGATGGTAGCGCAGCAAGCTCCAAAGGAGATGCAACATATACCGATGCCAATAATGCAACAACCACATATGTCAGTCTCTCAAGCTCCAATTGAGATGCGACAGATGTCAAGGACGATGCAAGAGCCCCGGATGGTAGCACAGCAAACACCTATGGAACAAATTCAAGAGCCCCAGATGGTAGCACAGCAAGCGCCAATGCAGATTCAACAGATACCGATGCCAATGATGCAACAACAGCAGATGCCTCAGATGGTAGCACAACAAGTTCCAATGGAGATACAACAAATGCCGATGTCAATGATGCAACAACAGCAGATGCCTCAGATGGTAGCACAGCAAGCGCCAATGCAGATTCAACAGATGCCGATGCCAATTATGGAACAACAGCAGATGCCTCAGATTGTAGCACAACAAGTTCCAATGGAGATTCAACAATTGCCGATTACAATGATGCAACAACAGCAGATGCCTCAAATGGTAGCACAACAGGTTCCAATGGAGATACAACAGATGCCGATGCCAATGATGCAACAACCACATATGGTAGCCCAAGAAGCTCCAATGGAAATGCGGCAGWTGTCAAGGACGATGCAAGAGCCCCGGACGGTAGCACAGCAAATACCGATGATGATGCAAAATCCTCGGGTAGCGATGCAGGAGCTGCCTATGCTAATGCAGCATACGCCTATGATATCGCAACAACCTCAGATTGAGGTAATGCCGCAAATGATGTTGCAACAAATGTCGCCGGATATGCAACGGCAAACTGAAGAACAAAACCTAGTCGGTGAGGCTACGCCACAAATGTCTGAGAATGCTGGAAAAGCTCGCTTTAAAGGTAATCTATTTGGTATATTACGCGACAATATTACTCTYTTCCCCACTGACTCATTTGATCGATCAGGCGGCTCCGTTTTTGATGAATTCGATATGTTTGGACTGGGTGGAGGCCATAATAAAGGAAAAAAACAAAAACATTCTGGCTTGAGACCGACAATTATTAATTACTATTACAATGCTGGTGGCCGTCCATCAACTTATAGTTCAGGCTATGGCTCAAGCAGCAAACCCAGCTATGGTGCGAGTTATGGTAGCGGTGTTAGTGGAAGTTATGGTACGCTTAACGCCTATGCTGGAAATGCCCCAAGTTATGGAAACTACGGTGCAAGTGCCGGAGGAAGCTACAGTAGCGGATCTTACAGAACTGCTGTTGGAGATGATGAAATAAGAGCAATGCTCCAGGAGCACTCACAAATGGTGAGCAATTTTAATCATTAAGTAATTGCGATTATTATATCTGTAGTGTTTCTTATATTATTGTCGTGCATTCGTAGTTTGCTTAAATCATGGACTTTTGAATATCCAAAATCGAAATACCATCATTTCAATATTTGTTAACACCGTCAGCGTTTTCGCTTGTTTTTGTATTGAGAAAAGGTTCAATATATCGTTGTGTGTATTGGGCAAAAATATAAACGGATAGGTCAGTGATTCTAGACCTGAAATATATAAATTGTTTATCTATAATTGGCGTTTAAACAATTCTTGGCTGTTTTTGGACTTCATTTTCTAAAGCCGGCACTTGATACTATCAGAAAACAAGAAGCGACTAAAAATGTTCACTCAAAAGTGGGATCGCTATTTAAAAGTGTCTGACGATCCGCCTTACTTGTACCAACATGAAAGATTGTTAATAAAAGTCCAAGCCTGTTTCAGTTATACAGATGCTATTGCCGTATTAATGGCTTAGCGAAACAAAATATATCCGTTAAATAAGGCTAACGATCTAATTCGACTACATTATTTTCACTTCTATACTTTAGCTGGCTCAAACTCAAGATAAATATCTTTAAGAAGAGATATTAATTAATTATTAACTGCCATCGTCTCGATTTCATACATACATGTAGATATTGAAAATCCCACATATCTTGAGAATAACTTTATGAATAGACTAGTTTCATATCCCTAATGTGTCTTATAGTGATAGTAGATAGATCATATTCATTTTATATCATTTATCATTTAGTTACTAATTACTTCACTCATGCTCATCAAAATTTTGTTTTTGGTTTCCGTGCAAATTTCATGTCATTAACAGGTGACGCATTTCAGAAAATGATGTCCGACACAGACCGCAATCCCGTTAATACCACAGTTGTGTCGAGTACAACAACAAACCAGGAAACGTCATTAGCCACTGAAAACATTAATCAAAACCAACCAACATCGCAGACAGAAACATCTTCGATTAGTGATAAGCCAAAATCTACCACAACAACGTCTACAAACTCGCCAACCACAACTTCTTCAAAGTTAACAAGGTTAGATTGTAAGTTAAAACTAAATAGTATTTTAGCTAAAGGTAAAACATATAAAGGAGATTGTATAAGGCATAAACGGAGCGCTAATTACGGCACGCTGCAAGCGATTGACGCAAATTCATTAAATACGTTACGTAAAACGTATAAGGACTCATTAAAAGAGATTACGTTGAACCCGGATGAAGATCCGGCGGAAGCTCTGATGCGTTACAATGTCGCTTCCATTCGGGCTGCTTTAGAGGAGGCTAATAAAGCGCCAATGGAGATCAACGCTGGCGGTGAAGACGCGACCACCATTGAGGGACATAACAATGAAGCGTATTACGATGGCGTCCAAATGCCTATTTTGAATCACGTTCCTACACATTTGCAGGTATTTTCACAACCTACCCCTTATGTAGCTGATCAACACAGCCGGCGCAACAATTATAAGATCATCGACAGTGCTAATCGTGAACCAGTTAACGTTCAACCCCAAATGCAACGAATCCAACTACAAGAATGTGAAACTCCGAAAAGAAAACAGGATCATGTGAAATCCGTAGAAAATAAAAGTTTTAAGCCGGCTATTGTCGATTCCGTAAATCTGCAGCACAGAAACGTTTCAAATGTGAGTGAAACGCAAACATCTGAAAGTGAGCTCAGAACCGTGTTAGAGCTTATTAAGCAACAGTTGCAAACGTGCTGTGACAAGTGTCGAGATCGAATTTTGGGCAACATAAAGTCGAATATCAAGGCATTGCATTCTTACGAGAGTCTACAGAAGGATGAAGCGACGAGGATGCCTTCAAAACCAGCAGTCTCGGCTTCAAACTCGAACTCCAAACGATGTAGGTATGATGACCAATTCGAAGAGTGGTTACGGGAAATGGAGGCCAAAGGGTATGAGTCCAAGTACCTGACTAAGTCGCATCATTGGCAGTATTTGAACAGCGGAAAACTGGCTTTAGCTATGGAAAGCGGCGAATACGATCAGGAAAAAAATAATAGAGTTTCGAAGGAAACTAACGAACAGTATTTTAAACGCTATACTCCGCCAAATATCCCGGTGCATGATAAGGACCGGAAAAGTAAAAAATTGTCAAATAAGAGTAAGGGTAAAGCATTTGGAAAAAAATTACCAGATCTGAATTACTCAATTAAAGAGCATGTGCATGTTGTGAACGATGAGTTGAGACATTTAAAGCAAAACTCTGAGGAAGTTACACTCGGCCCATATGCCATGCGTGGTAAATTCAAGAGTAGTAGTGCYAGAAAGCATAGTGGCTCTGCACCTGTGATCGTACCGATAAAATTTAACGCAATGTCGCAGCTACGATCCTCATTAAGCAATACAGCCGAAGAAAATAAGGCTAAAGTGGTGGAACTGTTAAGTTTACTCTACGATTTAAACCCAAGAACTGAGAATACGACTAACGGTAAGCCCGCACAGCTCTCATTTGTGGTTATGCCAATTGAACCGGCGACTACGACCGCGAGCCCCGGTCAAGTTGCTACCACTTCTAGGGCACGAACAAAACGAATGCGTTCCCGACGAAAGCAGAAAGTAGAAAATGCTATAGCGACAAAGGTGGAACAAAGTAGTATCGCTGAACAGTGACAAAGCAGAAGTCATATATTAACATAAATTATATTGATTATACATAAGTTATATAGATAAATAAGGACCTATAATAATTATATCTCAAATTTCAAGGTCTGTAAAATAATACTTTAATAACTGTTTTTAATTGTTTTATTTTGATTAAGTTTTCTTACTGCATGTAGAATTCCATTACAACCATTGCTCATTTTTGAAATTTCTCTTAAATCTATCATTTCATGCTCACCCCATAAATGCGGCCAATGATCATCACATATCTCCATCTCCAAAACTCATTCAAAATCACGTTGATCAGCTCTAGTGTTAATCCAGAAAGTTCATATTCTATGGATCCTGAAAATGTAGGGTCGATTTTCAGCTTCAGTCCGAATATCTTAACACCTTTTATGGAGTTACAGTCTGTACCATTATATGAAAGCGATCCATGGAATCACAAATCGTATGACTTGCACTATCCTCTCTATGTGGGTGGTGGAAGTTATGAACCATATTTAAATAGCAAACGCTTAAAACGGAACTCGCGTGGTTACACAAACAACATACTCACACCCAGTATTCTGGATCATTTCCTGAAAGTACGTGTGCAATTTGAAAAGAGCTTTCCAGAGCTTTATAAAAGTTTACGTGATCAACAGCGCGCCCTTAACTTGACTAGAGTGTTTGTGAAGCCTCCGGTGATACCTAAAATAGTGATGTATCCACCAACAGAATTGGGTGCTGCCGAATTGTTACCATCAGATTTCAGCTCCATTCAAAACAATGATCCCACTACTAAAAGCGAAGATGTTACAGACTATTTTTTATTTGATGATGATGATTAGAATAATACGTTCTTGAAAGTGGCCTACCAAATATTTGTAATAGAGAAGTGTAATATAAAATAAAATAATTAAATGTGTAAAATAGTAGGTTTATTTTTGTTCAAATTAAGACTTGGGAATAATTGATGTGATTAATTTATAAGAGTCAAAAAGGCTAGGAAAAGTATTAAGCGGTATAAGCGGTAACTTGAATAAAAATTTAGATATATTGATGAAACTTGATAGATGTGTTTCCAGGCACCCAAGAGGGGTCGTATTGCAGATACAAAATATTTGTTTGGTATAGGGTATCGCAGTGGAAAGGGCATTCTTGAGCTGAAAATTTTTTAATGTGGGCATGGTCCCGAATTCGAATAGGTTTCTTGACCATATTCCCCAAAATATATTCCTAAAAATAAATATTCCCAATAATTCTTTATGAACTACGAAAATGGGTAAAATTAGATGTTAATGTAAATAATTACTAAATTAATGATAATTCAATAAATAATYCCGTCAACAACATAAATTTTAAATCAAATATGGTACGAAAAACCTTCAAGGGAGTTATTGGCAAAAGTGAAAAATGGGGTGGCCCAAGTTTTGATGAAATCCTATATCTCAAGAACTACTCCAATTTCGGCCAAATATTATCGTAACATGATTTTGATTTTCTTATATTACATTGGGGGAATGGGTGAAATCGGGCTACAACCTACTTTCCATATATCAAAATTGTAAATTCTATATCATTTTTTTCACTTTACAAAACATACATTGAGAGCCGTTATCGAAATAAATGTTTATATTATAAAAGATATGTATATAATATATACATACAATATGTATATAGTCGAAAATTACTCGAAATTGGACCATATATTTATTTTCTTCTTCTTTTTAATTGGCGTAGATACAGCTACGCGCGTCAGTCGTTTCTTCTTTTCGTTACGTGGCGCCAATTGGATATTCCAAACGTAGGCAGGTTCTCCTCCACCTGGTCCTTCTAACGGAGTGGAGGTCTTCTTCTTCCCCTGCTTCCTCCGGCGGGTACAGCGTCGAATACTTTCAGAGCTACAGTGTTTTCGTAAATTCGGTCAACTTGACCTAGCCGGCGTAGCCGCTGTCTTTCGCTGAACTATGTCAATGTCGTCATCACATACTGCTCGTCGTTCCATCGAATGCGATATTCGCCGTGGGCAACGCGCAAAGGACCGTAAATCTTTCGCAGAATATTTCTCTCGAAAACTTGCAACGTCAACTCATCCGTTGTTGTCATCGTCCAAGCCTCTGCACCATATAGAAGGACGGAAATTATGACTTGGATTTTTGTTCGTCGAGAGAGGACTTTACTACTCAATTGCGTACTCAGTTCGAAGTAGCACCTGTTGGCAAGAGTTATCCTGCGTTGGATTTCCAGGCTGACATTGTTGGTGKTGTTTACACTGGTTTCCAAATATACGGAACTACAACTTCAAAGTTGACTGTCAACAGTGACGTGAGTGCCAACGTCAGTTTACACAGCCGTATTAGTTTCGCGGGGATACCAAATTCAGACATCGCGTCATAGAGGCAGCTCCTTTTCTTGCTGTCCAAAGCAGCTTTGAAATCGACGAAGAGGTGGTGTGTGTCGATTCCCCTTTCACGGGTCTTTTATAAAATTTGGCGCTTGGTGAATATCTGGTCGGTTGTTGATTTTCCAGGTCTAAATCCACACTGATAAGGTCCAATCAGTTTGTTGCCTGTGGGCTTTAATCTTTCACACAATACGCTCAATAGAACTCTATGTACGATGTTGAGGAGGCTTATCCCACAGTAGGTCACGTAGATTGTGGGGTCCACTTTTTGTTGATGGCAATCCTCGCCGCTTTGTAGTTCTTCAGAYGAGCAATTGCTATTCGAACTTCTTCATCGTCGGAAAATGAAGCATCTGCTCCATCGTCATCGATTGGGGAATCGGGTTCGCCTTCTCTTGGCGTTATGTGTTTACTGCCATTTAACAGGCTGTAGAAGTGCTCGCTCCATAATTTAAGTATTCTCTGGGCMTCGGTCTTTTTCTGTCTGCGCCTCGCTTCTCTCTTCAACTCTCGGTAGCTATCCCATCCCTCATATGTTGTGGTCGATCTTAACGTTCCTTCTCTTCCGTCGGGGCGTGGAAATTCACCGGAGTGAATGATAGTACTCTACGACAGAGTCTCTCTCCCACCACGAATCCCACACCAAACTTGCGCTCCTTTATATGGCCACTGTAGTAAATGCCACAAGGAGCTACTCGTCTCAGTGCTTGTCCTGTCCATCGCATTTCTTGGACGGCGGTGATGTCAGCCTTTATATTCACGAGGATATCAACCAGCTGGGCAGCGGCACCTTCCCAGTTATGGGACCGAACATTCCAGGTCAACGTTTTATTACCTTCGTGCATAATCTAACGCAGTGAGACTTTGTATTGATACCATGGATGGCTTTAATTGCCTAAAAAATTTCTAAGGTGGACGAATCAAGTTACAATTTGGAAATAGCATATATTATATAACAWTAAGAGCCTGAGAGAAGTGTAAAAATAATTAAAGAGTCGCTACAATCTACTACTCCTAGGAATATACTTTTTGTGTAAAATTAAATTTTTGGAACGTTTTTCTCTTCYTCAGACATTTGTGTTTTATCCACTACATACAAAACTGGTGTTCATAATATTTAAAACCTTCTTAATAACCATAGATATCGTAGGAATATGGAAAACGGAAGCGGAAAGTTTGCGGTAATATTCCATCATCTAATTTAGAAAATAAAATCAAATTGCTTCCTTTTTTAAACTAAAATAGCTTATGAATGAATTTGCGACAAACCTTACCATTTAATTGTCAGTAGGACTTTGGCTTATATGATGTTAAGGAATTCAAATGGATTCGACTGATCTTGGCCTTATTTGGCCCCAAAATATTTTGTCATCGTATAATAAATCAAAACTAAATACCATCATTATTATTATGAACCTTTTCGTGAGCAATAACTGAACTTACTCTTCAAATCGTTTTTATTTTTCTTAATTTTTTATGTTGGCAACATCAATGACACTTCATCTGAAAATAATTGAACCCTAATTGTGTTTTAAGATAATTCACATGCAGTCTAAAGTCAGCTGAAATAGSAAAATTGTTATAATGGGGTTTTCAATAAAAGCGAAGTTTTTTTKAAAAACGGTTTGAGATATCAATGAAAGCTCGCAGAAATTCAGACGCTCAACCCAATTTTTGACGGTTTTCAATCATAAATTGGCTGATTTGGGTCTACCTCAATTAATGCGCCAGCRGCAACAATATTCTCGACACTACGCGCACTTCTTTGTCTTATGTGTTGAACACAATGCTCGCGACAGACTGCAGTAGCACGACAGTGAACTGAAAATGGCGTTGTGAATGTACATGAACGTTTGTGAGAGGGCGGCAACATAACAATGGTATTTGAATGGTGAAATTTTGTATGCAAAAAATAAGTAAATAGGTAAATATTTTTGCTTCAAATTGTCAATTGGTATTATAAAGGATGTAACAGAGCTATTTTATGGTTTTTTTTGTAAAATAAAGTCAGGTTTGTTAGAGCTTTGAGTAATTTTACATTTTACATATTAGTGGCATCACCACTCTTCCTCATCTCTCTACTGTCAACTCTACTGGCAAATATAGGATTAAATTGAAGTTAGCGAGAGCGACAACTGTCGGCCTGCAGTCGTGTAGTCGTGCAGCTGTCAAAATAGGTCTGTCCATAAGAACGTGTGTATTTTAATATTTGACAGATGTACATAGTTTGCAGTCTGTCGCGCTTTATGTGTTCAACACGTCACTGATACTGATACATTTTGGCCACTAGACGTTTAATTGTTCATCTGACAGGACGATTATGACGGCTACAAAATGTCAAAAGAGCGGGGAAAAATATTCCGTCGTTTGCTGTACCTATTGGTCTACTTTTGTAGTGTCCTTACTGAAGSTTAGTTGAACTATTGTAAAACATAAAAAACGAAAAACGGCTATATCCTAACTCAGCACTTCTTTATTTGCCTTTAGCTTTAAGTATTGTATAGTATTGTATAATGCCAGCTCCAATTTGTCATCGTTCATAGTCATCCAGTAGCTCAAGCTTGGTAAGATCTTTTGATAGAGTTTTATCGCCAGGAGTGTTGTCATTTAGATCAGGTTTTGGTCCTTCTTTGAAATATATCTTTGMAAATACGGAAATAATTTCTCTAAGCTAAATTTATTGGTTCAGAAATTTGATGTAATTAATACTATATTTACATCCACATTAAGTTTGTTCGATTGATTTGTGGTAATAGATACGATCCTTGAACAATTTCTGCGGATATCGATTTAAAGAGCTGAGACATACAAGTGTATGAAATGTTATGTTAGAAACTTGAATTGAGAAACGCGAATTTTCAGATATTGTATATATTATATTTGATATATTTATTGGAAATAAAAGAAAGGGTTTAGMAAAGTCAAGAACCATAATAAAGTTATAAATAAAATTGTGAAGTTAAATACTTTTAAAGCTTTTTAATTTCGAAATTCATTAGTTATAGTCAACCAAACGAACAGCAGACGAAAAGCTTCAGATATCTATGTGGCCAATTTGAGAACAAATGATGCAAACTTCAACCTAAGGAGCATAGCTGGTAAGATTCTATTTGAGGTATTTTTTTGAACTTTTTTCCTTTAGTAATTATGTGCCTATATCATATATTAAGTCCTAAATCTTATTTCGGTTAGCCCATATTTTTTTAAAAGTAAACGCAAAGTCAGGGTAGTCGTTGAAAATTATTCGATGTGCATACTAAAATATAGATCCATGACTTTATCAGATGTCTTTGCGAGATTCTATTCTTTAGATTAGGTTAACTGCGCGTAATTCATCCGGAYGGCTATCCGCCATTCCGGAGTAAAATGGTTGATTCATCTTCCGTCCAAAAACGAGATAATTGCGTTTGAACATTGCTACACTGCTGGTGGTTAATTTRAAAACTTGCG